GCGCCATCTAGAAACCGACAATACGTGTGCAGAGGTAACTTTTTCTACAGAGCGATTTTCAAGCTGAAACTTCGAATATAATCCCCTCTTATATAGTTATATTGTAACCGACCTGAATACTTCATATATATTCGAGAGTGTTCCACGCGAATGGCCAAGATCATTAGAGTTTCACAACCCGTTTCACGTGAAGTGGCGTAAAACTCGGTGAAAACGCGATACTTGCTGTATGCAATAGTCGTGAAACATGTTTTTCACTAGTGTTTTTCATATCACGGCTTGTGAAACTCCATTGAACAAACTTCATCTTGCAAAGTTATGCGAGAGGTCGATTATTTGTAGATTTTTGAATTTTTGTGCGGATGATAATAAATTTCCGTGAGCTCGTGAGCTTACATATTTCTCGCTGTTTAGTACGAAGGACGATCAGTCTTCTGAAGTGTGCTCCCTGTGGTCCTCTCAGGTCAGCTCTGCAGTCACTGATGCGGATCTAGTGGTAGCAGCAGTGCTATCTGGAAATAGGAATTTCGAGGGACGAGTTCACCCTCTTACCAGAGCTAACTATCTGGCTTCACCTCCCTTGGTGGTAGCCTATGCATTGGCTGGAAAAGTGACTATCGATTTTGATAAGGAACCGATCGGCCAAGGTGAGACTACTTGTTGCTGTTGTATATGTTGTTGTATATGTATATGTTTTTGTTGTTGTTGTTGTATATGTTGTTGTTGTATATGTTATTGTTGTTGTTGTTGTACACGACTGAGATCTTGTGTCGAGGTACCGAGGGCCCTGTGTATTTGCGGGACATCTGGCCGAGCAGTGAGGAGATAGCAAGAGTCGAGATGGAGTGTGTACGGCCGGAAATGTTCAGAGAAAACTATGCTAAGGTTGTGAGCCAAAATAAGAGGTAAACTTGCATGACTTTGTAGTTGATGAACGTCGTATATCGTTGATCAGGTGGAACGATCTGCATGCTCCAGCTGGGAAGCAGTTCGAGTGGAGAGACGATTCGACCTACATCACTAATCCGCCTTTTTTCGCTAAGGTATGGTATGGGGGGAATATATGTTCGCTTCTCTCAGGAGTTTTAGGTGTACAGAAACCAATAAGAATTACCGAAAAATTTCCATATTATCACCGATGGAGTTGAACATGTGCATATTCTCCCACAGTGTTACGTGGAACAGCAGTGTAGGAATGTATAGGAAATGAAGAGACTCCTAATCAGCAGCTTAGCGTTGTCAAGAGAACACCCATTCGTTGTTGTTCCCGGTATGCATGGTCTCAGACTGAGCTCACCCCGACTCCTCTAGAGTCTATCAAAGATGCTTACTGTCTGCTCAACCTCGGTGACTCGATCACTACAGACCACATCTCGCCCGCTGGGAAGATCACTGCTGATTCACCTGCTGTAAGAGTTCCTCTCGAACAGGACAGGTTCACGGTGCTTATAGGGTCGCTATCTGATCGAGCACGGAGTGGAGCCTAAGGA